GCTTGTTGTTACTCTTTCTTACTAAGACAATATTACTAGTCCAGTCCGTATATTCATTTTCTTTGATGATTATCTGGTCCTTCACTAATTCTTCTAACATCATTTTCAATTCCTGCCTCATGGGAACTGGTATTCTTCTTGGTTGCTGTATGGTCGGTTTGATTTTTTCATCAATTTCTAAAGATACTTTTCCTTCAATTTTTCCTAATCCTTCGAATATCTCCTTATACTCTTTTATTATTTCTGTAGCCTCTGTGTTCCGAGTTGACACTTTATTGCAAACTTTTATTAATTCTAGTCTCTCACAGGCATTAGCAGATAGTAAAGGTTTGTGTCTATAGTTTACAACTTCAAATAACAAATTGTAGGTTCGATTATTTCTTATGCATTTGAGTATAGTTTTACCTAGAGGATGAATAATTTGACCTCCAAAACATCTCAGTTTTGCATCTGAGTATTCCAGATCTGGATTACTGCACTTCGTCAAAGCACAGAATTCGTCATAGCCAATAATATTGCAGGTAGCTCCGGTATCTAGCTGACATCCGAGTTTTTCAGTTGAGTCATTTATTTGAAATGTCAATTCAGCAGTTATTTCTTTGTCATTCCTTCGGCCTATTGTCAGAATGAGTTCGTCTGATTCTTGATCTTGTTGAGATACTATGTTGACTTGCTGTCTACGTAATCTTTTCATACAGACTCTGGCGAAATGTCCAGTCTTTCCGCAAAATTTACATGTTGCTCCTCTTGCAGGACATTGTTGTGGATCAGATTGATGTCGATATCCACAATATTTACATTCTTCTTTAGTGTTATCCGAAAGTCTAGCGTTGTTTGGCCCGAAATTTCCTCTATTAGATGTTATTATTCCTCTGCGTAGCTTATTTACTTCGTGATCTGTACCAGCAATGCTTTTCAACTGGGCTTCTGATAATTCCTTTGCCTTACATCTGTCTATAGCTTCAGATAATGTTATATCTCTCTTGAGCCAAAGCGTTTCGCGCAACTTTATATCTCTGATGGAATAAATGATCTTATCAAGTAAAAGTTCACTTTCCAATGCACCAAACTGACAGTTTTTTATTAGGGTTTGCAAACGATTGAAATATTCCGAATAAGTTTCGTGATCCTCCTGTCTAGCTAAATTGAATACAGCACGTTCATATCTTATATTGACTTCTGGAGTAAGATTTCTTCCAATTCCTTCTAACAAACTAGAACAACTTCCTTTTTCCTGTTGTTTGATATCAAAATTTGGGTATCTCTTGAATACTTCTTCTCCTACCGCGGTCAGTAATATTGCGATTTTTTCTTCCTCGGATCTCCTGATCAATCCACTTGCAATGACGTAGTTATTCCATGATCGCTCGAAAAACTTGAAATTCTCGGAAATATTTCCTTCCAAACTAATTGCTCTTGGTAATGGTAGGCTCAAATTCGTATTTTCAACTTGTACTGGTCCAGTTTCTTCATATTTCTTCAGTTTTTGTTCCAATTGTCTGATTTTTTCTTCCATGCTAGTCTTTCTGATACTTTCAACTATTTCGCTGCTAAAAATTCTTGAATTCCTTGTGTATGACCTGACACCATGTAATAGATACTGTAGGTAGCCTCTAGCAAGGAGCTATTGGGGAAAAATCATTTAAGAATCGAGTTCATGAGAACGTGTATTTTTATGACATCCCTCATAATTCTAATGACAACTGTCTGTTCAACCAAATATCTACAGGGTCATGCACAATAATATAACAGACTGCATCAGATAATTCTGAAAATATTGTTGGACGAATTCATCAAGCAAAGGATGTAGATGAACTTACAACCATGAACAATGAAATCACAAACATTGAAGGTGTTTCGGGTGTAACTAGTAATGACTTCAAAACCAATTTGATATCATGGGCTATTCAATATCACATAGAGCATGCTGCCCTTAACAGTTTGTTGAAATTGGTGAAAAATGCTAAAATTGATCCAAGTAATATTCCATCTGATTCTCGCACATTGTTAAAAACTCCAAGACAAATTGAATACCATTCAGTTGCACCTGGAACATACTCACATATTGGTCTGTACAAAGCTATAGAATATTTATTAAGAGGTAGAACACCACCAGAAAAAATTGATATTCTGGTAAACATAGATGGACTACCTCTAAGTAAAAGTTCAGGCAGTCAGATATGGCCAATCCTTTGTTCCATACATAATATGCCATTTGGAGTAGCTTTGATAGGGGTTTATCATGGTTATAAAAAACCTGCCAATTCAAATGAGTTTTTAGAAGATTTTGTAATTGATGCAATGGATCTAACTGATAATGGTTTCAATTTGAATGGGAATATAATTCCTTTCAAAATTATTGGTCTTATTTGTGATGCACCTGCAAAATCTTTTGTTTTGAATACAGTTGGACATGCAGGGTATTTTTCATGCACAAAATGTATTCAAAAGGGTGAATATTTGAAAGGCCGAACATGTTTTCCACAAACAAAATGTAGGAAAAGAACTAATTCCAGTTTTCGCTTGAAATTACAAAAGGAGCATCATGTTGGAACTTCGATTTTAGAAAATATCCCAGAATTTGATATGGTTTCTAATGTTCCTGTTGAATATATGCATTTAATGTGTCTGGGTGTTATGAAGAAACTTCTTGTGAATATGTGGGTTTATGGAAGACCTCCCAATAAATTTCGTCCTGTAGTCATAGAAACAATCAATAATAGATTAGACTCAATAAAAAATCATATACCAATAGAATTCGCTAGAAAACCCAGATCTCTTGAAGAAGTAAAAAGGTGGAAAGCCACAGAGTTTAGATTTTTTTTGTTGTATTCAGGTTCCTTCATTCTGAATGGATTAATTGATGAAAAACATTTTTTAAATTTCTTAAGTTTACATATTTCAGCAAGAATATTTTCTAATAATTCTCCTGACAATTTATTTGAATTTGCAACCTCTCTTCTTGAATATTTTGTGAAATCGTTTGAAAAATTATATGGAAGAGAATTTTTATCACATACCGTCATTCGGGGTGAAGTCGGACGATTTTTGCAGTTTTTTGTTGATAAAATCTACAATTTAAAAAAATAAAATCCCAAAAAAATAATTAAGAAGCTTCCATGTCTCCTTTGTCAATTTACAGAGTGAAAGTAATGACATTTGCATCCCCCTCCCTTTTTTTTTCACATGAAGTGAGTCCGCCATCACCCCAACGTGTGGGGTGTTAGCGGACGATCATTTATTTAGCAATAAACATTGTCTTAGCTCCTGGTAAGGGGTGTATTCGGACAAAAAAATAAAAGGAATGATATTCATAGCAGAATTTCATAAATTGTAGGTAAAAAAAATGCAAAGATGCAAATTAAAATATTTTATTCTTGAAAAACATATGAATTTACAGAACAAAACACGAACTGTGTAAATTTATATAAAAAAAAATAAACGTCAACTCTTATCAACTCAATAACTAATAAACATTATTATCAACACTTGAAAATATGTTTGGCTCTTGTGAAAAACATCAACAACGTTACTCTATTTTAATATTTTTTAATGAAGACAGCTCTGGGAAATTAAATCTTTGGCGCCTTAAATCTTTGATATTTTTTAAAACTTTCACGATTTGTTCTTTATCTATGAGGCTTTCGTCTTTAACTATTGGATATAAAAAATATTCGGCAATTTTTCGTTTTTATTCCCTTTTTCTTGTCATGTAACGTAGATTTGGGCACCCCATAATACTCAGCAGCTTGTCTTATACTTTTTCTGCCTTGTCTGATATCTTCCAGTGCTCTAATGATGTTTTCTTCATCGTAATTTTCGAAATTAATGCCGATTTTCTTCTTATAGCACCTAACAATAGTGTCCGCGTTCCCCCCTATAAAATGAAATTTTTTACTAAAACGCCATTATTTAAGAAAAAAATGGATATTTTCTTATCAAATTGCCATGGGTTTACTAATAAAAGAGCACATAACGAATAATAGCTCATTTGAAGTATATAGTTTCAGTATTCTCTAGTGCCCAACAGTTTCTTTTTTGGTTTTCAAATTCTTAGAAGAAAATTAAATTTATAAAATCCTTACCACGTACTCTACGGCGAATTTGTCTAGCAGAAATGCACCACTTCCAACGTCACTCGAGCTAAACTGAGTGGAATAAACCGGTTGGTGGATTTTTTGCGCGTCTAGACAAACGACATTGTAAAACACACCGGCCAATACCTGTCGGTCCGAGTTCACCCCCACAGTCCGACTTCACCCCGAATGACGGTAATGTTCACAACTTGCTTCATGTATCAGATGATATTAAGACATTTGGACCTCTACATTGTTACAGTGCATTCCCCTTTGAAAACATGTTGGGCTCTTTGAAAAAACTGTTAAGAAAACATGAAAAACCAATTTCTCAAATATTAAAGAGGATGAAGGAAATTGAAAATAATTATTGCCCTTCTAATTCTGTATGTCCTGACCTGCTATGTCAAGTTCCTCATGATTCAGGCCCAACGCCAGATGCTGTAGGGTGGTTGCAGTATAAATCAATAATTTTTAGAAAGTTCAAATTAGATGTAAACAATGTTGCTGACTCATTTTGCCTTCTGACTAATAATACAATAGTTAGAGTCTACAATATACTTGGAAGAAACTCTAAAATAGGCATTTATGGGAAGCGATTTTGTAAAATTGAGAATTTCTTTGAAAGTCCATGTAATTCCTCTGATTTAGATATATATGTTGTGAGTAATTTAGACAATGATTTGTCACTGTATAATATAGAAAACATTGTCTCAAAATTGGTGGCATTTCCATTGACTGATAAATTTGTTGTTTACCCTCTGTTGCATGAATGTGATCAGGCCATAACTCTTTAGTAGGTATTTTGAAATTTGCATTTTTATTAGTCTCTTCCCAGAATAGAATGTTTCATGGCAGATTTTGATTTTGAATATGGGCCACATAATATTCAATTACTTTCTAATTTTAATTTAGGTTAATCAAATGTTTATTTTATTACTAATCAGTTGGTCTTCAACTGGGCTTCTAATTGTTCATTCCTTAGTTTTATGGAATCATATGCATCTCAGAGGTATTTTGAATTATTGTCAATAGATTTTTTTTACATGAATATATTCCAGGAGTCGTAAATACTGGCGAGTTGTTCATTTTATATCAGAAGACTCTGTGGAGGCTGTGCCAATGAACTGGATTATAAATAAAGTCAGCTGTTACTGGCCTCAACAGCATTTATTAAAAGTTGCTATACCAAAATGTCTACCACCCGAAAACTCATGGAAAATACATAGCATTCGAATTATTGGAGAAATTTATGGTGAGTAGTGACATTGTGTTTTTATGAACACATACATACAGCACATTAGCAACCCTGAGCAGTCAGTTGCCCCTTTTCTTTTTGATTGCTTCAGCAGACAGTCAGCTATTTTTTACCCTTGTGTGACACAATATACTAATTCTAATCATGGGTTTCTTGTTGGTTTTACATAAAAATGTAGATTTTATCATATCTATTTATTTCCAGATGATTTAGTGACTGCCAAAATTAAAGCAAGTAAAGCAATGTATACATCTGATATAAATTCAGATGTAGAAAAAGGAATTGGTCACCGAAAAAAAAAAGCAAATTCAAAGTATACTCTTGATTTATATGATTCAGATGAAACAAATATTGATATTGATCTAGATGAATCTCGAGATGAATCAAATATAGAACGTTCCGTCTTGCTGTCCCCTAGAAATAGTAAACATCATATGATTGAAGGTGTGTATTTACTTACTCAACTGATTTTTATTATTTATATTTTTTGTTGACTTCTTCATCAACATTAAGGATAAATAACAAATAGGTACAATAAGGCATATTCTTTTTTTTTTTTTAGCTGAAAAAACTGATGATTTGGAAGTGCCCATTCTCACTCCAAGGAATACTATGATTCCAAATTACTCAAATATCAGAGGTGTGTTTTATTTTAATTTATGTTACAGTTCAGTGATATTTGATCATTTTCAGATGACTCTGATGAGGAACTAATGAGCAATATCATTGCTGAGGGTAGTTGCAACATTTTTAATAACCTCTTTTTTTGCATGTTTCATAAGCTAAAATAGTTTTTCAACTACAAGTAGAGTCCATAGTAGTCCCTAATATTAACTAAGTAGGTACTGTATATATATATATATTTTTTTTCAGCTGATGATAACAATCATAATGCCTCTAGAACGAATGCTGACAAAAGCACAGTAACGCCCAAAAAAATATCAGGTAAACATATATTCTTGTTCAAATACTTGATTTAATTTTTTTTTTATTTTTAGAAGAGACTGGTTTTGAAAAATTGCTCAAAATTAATTTTAATCATGTATTTCGACAATTATCACTGATTAATTTCAAACTAGATGAAGTAATCAAAGATATGAATTCTGGCATGCTGCAAACCACGAATGAAGTAGACATAGCTGAGTCATTCTTCACCAAATTTGAATTTCCTATCAGTACTTTGGAGGATCTGAATGATTTTGAGGCATATCTGAAGAATGATGAGAATAAAATAAAAGTGGTATGAATGTAATATCTACTGGTTATTTGAAAATCCCACTCAATGTCTTAATGTCTTATTATGATTCTCCTATACAATATAATTATTATGAACATGAATTATTGGTCTGTGAGATTTAAAAGTGTCCCAATATTGCTCATTATGATAGAGTTTATATTGTTTACTTCAACCATACATGGTACCTATCTTGAAAATACTAGAATCACTATTGTACTTTTTGAAATAGACTGCTGTATAACAATAATTTTCTTATATTTTTGGCCTATCATTGGGTAAAATGATGAAAAATGTTTTCAACATTAATGAATATATATTATTTTTTAGACTAAGGAACTCTCCTCGATAGGAGGAAGTTCCCACAAAATAATGGTGAAACGTATCATGGACAAGGTATTAAGTAATGAAGTGGGCCAATCATTCAGCTGGCTTGGTTTTAAAAAGAAGAAAAACTTTTCTGTGTTATTGATATCACAAGTGATTATAGGTAATAAAAAAAACTCTTGCACTAGGATCATATTTAAACTATATTTTGCAGATGCTGTTATATCATTGAAAACAATGAAAGTGACCAGAGCTGATGTTGAAGCTTCAATCAAATTTTGGCTCCTGAAGTCGAAGGAACGGCGAGAAAAGGAACTGAACCAATAATTAGTTTCATTACATATATGCAGGGTATTTCTTCATGAGTAAACGCTATCGATATATGTAGAACTAAAAGTAGTATAATTCTGAAGATGTGTGGAGATGGTGAAGAAAACATGGAGAATCCAACTAAAATAGTTTGCTTCCGGTTTCTCCGGAAGTGACGTCATTTTTGTTATGTTCAATAGAGCACCCTGTTTATTATTTCATTTTTATATTCTCCCTAAAGTGCTGATTTCATCAAACTATCACACTTGGGGTCTATCAGTAATAATTACAGAGATGTAGGGTGTGAAAAATCGAGATTTTCCAAGTTCAGGAATTTGTTGTGCCCAAAACTATTCATAATTGGTCAAAATGGTTTACCTACATGTCCCTATCTCAACTTTTCATCCACTATCAATTGATATTTAATTGAAATAGATACAGGGTGTTCAGAAATCTAAATTCTAAACCACCCTGTATTTGTTTCAATCAAATGTATGTAGATAGTAAATAAAAAGTTGAGATAGGGACATATGTAAACCATTTTGGCCAATTATGTATAGTTTTGACACCAAAGCTTCTTGAACCTAGAAAATCTCGATTTTCCACACCCTATATCTCTGTAATCATCACTGCTAGACCCCAACTGTGGTAGGTTAAAGAAATCAGCTTTTCAGGGATAAAAATGAAATAATATACAGGGTGTCCTGTTGAAAACAACAAAGATGACGTCACTTCCGGAGAAACCAGAAGCGTCACAATAACGAACATGTTTAAGTTGGATTCTCCATGTTTCCTTCACTGTCCACACAAATTTTTAGAATTATGCTACTTTTAGTTCTGCATATATAGATAACTCATGAAGATATACCTACCCTGTATATATATATATATTATGTATCTGAATATGTTCATATAGTTTTGTTTCATTTTTTATTCTGAGAATTATGTTTTATTTATTGTGAGAATGATGTTTTATTTATTTTGAGAATGATGTTTTATTTATTTTGAAGTTATTATATTTTTATACACTGAATTGTCTTTTGAATTTCATTTCATCCTAATAATTATACAGGGTTCAATAGAGGAGCTCATTCTTCCTCCTCTATTGATCCCTAAAATATTTTTGCAATGTGTTTTCAGATACCCTGTATACTGAGAATATTTCTAGAACATTCTGAGAATGTTCTGGAGAAGATTATGGGGACTCTCTCAGAATATTCAGATGATACTGAGAATATTCTGGGGATGTTGAAAAATATATTCGAGAATATCCCGAGAATGTTCTCAGAATGATCTGAGGATGATCCTGAGAATATTCTTAGAATCTTCTCATGAATATTCTGAGAACGTTCTTGGAACGTGAATTTTCGTCCCATTTGCATGTTCTTAGAATATTCTCAGAACATTCCGTGCACCTTGTGAGTACATTCTGAGAATATTCGAAACGTTCCGAAGGAATATTCTAAGAACATTCTCAGAATCACTTTGTGCTGTCTGGGTTTTTGCTGTTTTGATATTTCTAATTCCTGATACAAAATATTTAATTTATTTTACAACAATGGCGGTTTACGATGATAATGAAAAGTATGATATGATGGTTTGTTTTATACAATCTAATGAAAATCCGCAAGAAGCTTCGGAATTATATTTACAAAGGTAACATATTTTGAGCGCTATGCTTACGATAATTTCTTAGGGATTCTTTATTTGTTTATATTAGATATCCAGACAGAAGATAACCTTTCCCAGATATATTTTCCCGCCTCGAATCAAATTTAGTAAAATATATATAGATCATTTATCCAGCCCCGTCCTAAGGCATATACCAAACAAGATAGAGAGACAAAACAAATAAACGTGTTGGGTTATGTAGAAGCGGCGCCCTCATCTTCTTGCAAGCAAATAGTGGAAGCAACTGTTGTATCCAAGTCTAATGCTCAAAGAATTTTGCGAAAATATAAGTTTCATCCCTATAAATTCCAAATAGTACAACATTTACACTCTGGCGATTCCGAGCGCCGAATGATATTTTGTCAATGGTATTTACAACAGATCCTTGCCGATGAATCTTTTAGAAGACTTGTTATCTGGTCCGATGAATGTTATTTTTCAAGTGCGGGAATTTTTAACCGCCATAATACAAGACATTGGTCCGCCGAAAATCAACATTTAATTTTTGAGAGGGCACAACAGGGACGCTTCGGAGTTGGGGTCTCATGTTTTATTTTTGGAAGACGAATAGTCCACAGAATTTATGAAGGAGGTCTCACAGCACGTCGTTACCGAGAAATCCTTGAGGAAGTTATTCCAGAACTGATGAAAAATGTTCCATTGGCTCTTTATAATTCCGTTTATTTCCAACAAGACGGTGCCCCCAGCCACAACTCTGCCCTTTTGAGGCCATTTTTAGATGATAACTTTCCTCAAAGATGGATTGGTACCAACGGACCTGTAAGATGGCCGCCTCGATCTCCGGATCTTTCAATTTTGGATTTTTTTTATGGGGTTTCCTGCAAGGCAAAGTTTATAAAACAAGATATCATTCTGTAGCAGAGCTTCGTGCAGCGATTGATTTGAGTTTCCAAAATTTGCAAAGAAGTCCTGTAATTCTTTACAACGCTATCAGAAGGATAACAAAAATGTGCCAATTTTGTATACGGGAAAATGGTCGTCATTTTGAAAATCACCTATGAAACCTTTTTGCATTTTCAAAATTCTGCCTTCATTTGCTTTTTTTTACGTTGAATCTTAAGTAAAATAGGTTTAGTGTTTGTTGTTATTCATCATAATAATTATGTTTGAATGATGTAATAAATAATTAAGGAATGAGAAATAAAAAAATATTATTTGAATTGAGTTTGAAAGTATAAGAAGTATAATAATCACTCACATAAATTTTGTTTTCAATAAATTTTAGCCATATCCTTCTACCTAAAAATTTTTTTTTGAAAATCTGAAATTCTGAGCTTGTTTTTGAAAATAATTGTATACAATTATATATTTTTGGAAAGCCCACTTCATGCTCAATGTATATATGAAATAATATACAGGGTGTTCCATTTAAAGAAACATATGTTTGCTCCATAACTAAAAAACAAAAGGTGCTAGCAAAAAAATAACTACGCCACTGGATTCTACGAGAAAAACTCTATAAAAACAAGTTTTAACTTCTTCGATAAGTTCAAAGATAACTGAGACACGGAGGGTGCCTGAAAAGTGATATTTTTCAATTCCACCCTGTATCTCGACAACCGGAAGAGCTATCACAATTCTGCTTGCGCCATTATTAATTTCATAAAAAAGTAGCACACTGTCGCGAAAACCGCAATGCTCTATCTTTACTGATAAGGGAGATACCCCGCAAAAGTGCCCAAATTGGGATACCCTGTACTTAGTTGGTCCAAGCTGTAATCCAAAGTTGATAGTATAATCGATTAGGTCAAAAGTGATATTCTGACAAGCATCTAGCTATACCAGCGAATCTTTGAAACATCGAGGTCAGTGCGGACGTCACCCACAACATATTGAGAAACTACGACAGCGATAGCTCAGTGGTCTGTGAATCTGACTTCCACGGTGGTGACTGGGGTTCAATCCCTGCGAGGCGACAATTTTTATTTCACAAGTAATTTTTCAAAAAAAGGTTCATTTAGGGTAGGGTTGAAACTACTTGTCTTTTTTATGCAGAAGAGATATTTTCCTTCCTCATATTACCATATAACCTTCTGATAACCTTGAGGTTTGAAAGATTCACTGGAATAGCTAGACGCTTGTGATATTCTGCCATATTTATCGGTTTTGGAATTTAGCCCCCAACTGCTACTCAAAAGAATTAATAAGCTAATTGCCCCTATGGGTCATCATGACCTAATTTCAATTTCTGCACAATAACTTTTCTTTCGAAATTAACATTCATTATTATACAACGTGAATCGATATAAACATCTAGGGTAGAACGGTGAGATAGAGTAGGCCCATGTAGAACTGAATCGTACGTTGATCAGAAATCGGTAATTTATTGTACAACTCGAAGTAGATATTTATCTCACCATCATCTTTGGTGGGTCACATATCATAGCGCTTTTCTCAGGTGTCACTGAATTATAAAGACTATTTCACTCATCACATCTGACAAATCTTCAGCCAGAGACGTGTGCTTATCGCGAATATTTCCCTCATATATCGGTAATTGCACTGCAGAGCGAAGATTGCACTGCGAAGAAATCCCGTCGCCATAACAACACATTTATAAAGCCATATCGCTAGACGCCATTTAAAAATACAAACAAATGTCAGATGGACTTCAAAAAAAGTATAAATGAAAGTGAACCAAAAAATACCAAATCCAACAGACACAATTCCTTACTTCGTGAAATATTCCAATGAATTACATTGATTCATAAAAATTGCCAGTCAATTTTGCATTCAAGCATGTGATCTTATACAAATTGCATTCGTTTATTTTCATATTTTGTATTTCGCCAAAATATGAAAATGAACTATTGCAATTTTTAGATAACAGGCTTTCTTGCAAAATTATCGGAAATATTTATGCACTCGTGCAATTATAGCCGAAAACATGAGCAGTCTTTCAATGGGAAAGACCACTGAGAGAAGAAATCCGTGCAAACCTCTTTCAATCGACGAATCATGATTCACGTTTGATGTACAATCAATATTATGAGTTGAAGTTGAAGGGAATCGAATCTATATCGTTTTGAAATCAGCATATTTCATTCGATATTTCAAACGTCCAAATATGATGGTGGAGCCGTGACGTATTAGTCCCGAGCTGTAGCTATATCTCTCTCTGATACCTCGTCATTCTGCAGTGTTGCAGTGTGATTGGTCAGTTCAAGGACAATAGGCGTGTTGGGACTAAGACGTCACACCAGTCACACCAATGAATTGACAAAATATCAAATAGCACAGGAATTGTGTGTTTTGAAATGGACATATTCTAATTTATTTTTTTCGCCGTCTTAGCATGAATGACAAAATTCAAAATTAATTCGCTG